AGGATTATGAAAGTGCTGCTCAGTGCTACTCTTTTTTAACCTGTCTCAGGTTTTTATTTTCTGCATTTAACTCATGGAAATTGCTGTAGATAAAGAGTTATCCTATAGGCTGGATTCTGGGTCATATCCTGCTTCCCACTGCTTTAGTTTTCCCACTACAGACTGTGTGGACATGTCTTCTGCAGAAGTTCTAACAGCATGTCATTTGGGGCATTGTAAACACATAGCTCATCTCTGTTCTAAACATTATTTATTAGATGTCTTGGACTCATTTACAGTATCCTTGAAGAGTGGAGGCAGGTAAATATTTATCAACTGAAGAATCTCATTTGCATGCTGAGAAGCCTTATGAAGTGCAAGCCTCTGGTTTCTCTCCGGTTCCTCTGACTACAATGTGCTATTTAAAGTTTTTATTTCAGAATTAATAAGAAAATTTTAGAAAGGCCTTGTCTTTTGTGAGAGACAAGGACAAAAGCCCTTTAGACCTGCTTATGAAAGGAGATGCTCCTCTCAAATTTCTCTAATATGGGAACAAGTACAGGAGAAGCCCCCAGGGAAAATGGAGGACCTGGGCTTTGGTAAATTAAGATAAAGAGTGAATACCTCTTGCAGATTTTCAGAGCTATAGGGGGACCACTGCCCTGTTTGGCCTCTGGGGCATCCCCATGTGGAGGCCTTTGGCTGACCTGGATGGCTTCTGCTGCTGGGCAGGGCAGTGGAATCACGAGTGCTCAGCCTTGGGGTAATCCAGTAGAGGTCACAGCTTGAAGGGGCCTGAAGAGGATGGAAAGTTTGCAGAGGTATACATATATATATATATACAGGTACACATATGCACACTTGTGTTTTGCAAGGTGCATGCAGTCTGGCTACCAAAGCATCTCCCGGCTGGTTCTGTTTATCCACTTTTACATTGTCCAGTATTGCAGGAAGCCACAAAAAACCCCTTTAAATAAGCAAAACACAATAGAAAGAACGTAAGATGGGAGGAGATGATAAAAGAAGCATACTACCGGAGGGGATGACTGGCACATACTGCATCCAGCCCGGTTTTCCTCATTGCTACTTATTCCCTGACTCTACTCATGTGGGCTCCCTGGAAATTATGTTTGGGATCTAACTGCAGCTGACAAGGGAAGAGTTTTTTCTGTCTGGATAGAAGTGTTTACATTGCACTTGAATATTTTAAACCAACTGCAGAGCTGCATCTGACATGGCTGGAACCTGCTTTTATTACTGGAATCTCAGGTGATCTTTGCTGCCTCCTTCATCATTCAGGCAGTCACTTCTGTGCAAAAGGTGTCTGTGAGCTACAGCAAAAATTAGATGGCGTTACTTCCTCATAATTATGTAGCAGAGATCCTTTTGTCTGTATCTGAGAATTATAGGGGCATAAACACTCTTGTACTTCTTCAAAATAAAGGCTGGAACTTAATTTTTAACATAAGCTGAAACGTGTAGCTGGATTCATTATAAACCCGTGTTTGTGGGCAGCTGCACGTACATAAGATTGTTGGCAAATAAGTATCAATGTACAGTCTACAGATATGACCCTTGCACACATGCTTTTCCAGCTGAGAGGAGGGTCTACCAGACATTTAAGTGATAAAGATTAGACGGGAAAAAAAGGAATTAAAAAAAAGTCTTTGATTCCCCTGAGTTCTTTTGAGTGTCTCCTGAATATAATGATAACCTCCCTGGCATGTAAGAACCAAAAACCTGCCAGAGAGACCTCCGGAGACAACACTTACTTCATCCCCTGTCAGTCTGAACAATCCTTTATTTTTGTAGTTTCTGGATACAACAGAGAATTCTGTCCCTCTTTGCTCTCTGTCCCACTGGCTGCCTTTTAATTTCTAGTCATCAGTGCCAACCCAGCTGAATTCCTGCTTGACATAGCTGAAACTTGGTTGCAACAGCAGGTTCTCAGAAATGCCCCAGACAATGGACAAATGCCCCAGTTCTCTCAGGATTTGTGCTAACCTTGAAACTCTACCTGGTAGGCACAGTGCAATCAAAAACTAATCAGTGAAATCAAGCTGAGATTTGATCTTGGGAGCTAATGGGGGGAAAAAAAGATGACTGTGCAAATATGGTAGGGCTTTCAAGGGTGGAGATGCACAAAGCTATTCTTAATCATCAGCATCGCAACAGTCATGATAGAAGGTCTTGGGAAAGTCTGTCAGCATCTGCATTAAACCAGTTAATTAGCAGGAAGGGACAAACTCCTCTGGAAGCATCTATGTGGTGGGCAGGCTCTCTTCATATTTCATTAGGATGATTATTTTAAAGGTTGCAGGCAAAATTGTGCCTGTATTCCTTTAGAGCTTTCCTTTACATGCTGAAGTTGGGGCATTTGGGGCTGGGAGGTAGCATGGGCAAAGAGCACCCAAGCAGCTTCACAAGGAAGCAGCGCAATATGGAGACAGTAACTTGAGCTACAACCTGCACAGTCTGAGTGATTTTCCTCTCCCTCCTTTTCTGCCTTGCTCTTTCAGCAAGGAAAAAAAAAAAGGGAAAAGGCTGCAATGTGTCACAAAGGAACAGACTGGCAGACATCTGCCTCTTGCCTTATTTATTTATTTCTTGAAAAAAAAAAGGAAAGGGTACAGAGCCAACTCTTCACTCCAGAGCCCCCAGTCCCTTAACAAACCAAATGGTGGCTGTTGGCAGGGTATTGACAGCTTGTTAATGAAGGAATTCTTGACAAAATGACAACCTGTGTGGGATGCCGTGTGAAGCTGAATCCTCCCACAAACCAGTACTAAGTAATTAGGAGGTGGTGAAAATAGCAACTAACTACTGTTGGGGAGAAGAGGAAGAGGGGGGGAAATCTCCTAAATTAATTATCAAATCAGTTCTCGTTTTAAAAGTATCCCTCTTCCCCTTCCCTGAGAAGACACAACAGTTTTTCCTGAACTATTTCATCCTGTGAGTTTCTCTTAGCAGGCCAAAGGATGTGCCTCAAATAACTGAGCCTGATGACCATGAATTCAGTACCTTTTTCTCTGAAAATGTGATCAGCAAATGAAGTGCTAATGAAAGCCAAACAATAAGCTGGCTGCTGGGGCCGCCCCTTCTGCTCCCCAAAAGGGCCCTGTCTGGTTTACCTTATTCTGTTTTCCCTCGATTTTTATCTGATTGCTTCAGGCAGCTAACCTGTTTGTCGACAAGAGCATTAGGTTTTAAACCCCCCGAACGGATGCATGATGAATCTGCCGAAGTACAGTGCTTGAGTTACAAAGCGGTTCTTGCAGAAAGGCACGTTTTTAAACAGTAGCTCAGCAACCTGGGCTCAAAGCGACAGCATCCACTATCAGGTGTTACAGCACTGGTTAGTAGCAGCTGTAGCAAAATCCCCAACTTGTGGTGAAATTATGTTTCTGGTGGCCATTCAGTCTGGCTCACCATTCTCCACCCTGTCTTGAATTGGAGCATATGATAATTTAACTAAATGATTCAATAAAATAGATCACAGCAGTTTGTGCAAGGAGGAAAGCAATGTATTTCTTTTTAAATGTTGATTTTTTTTTTCCCTCCCAGAGGCTGAAAACCTTTGAGTCGACTGTAACATGCAACACATGCAACAAGTAATTGAAATAAAACAAATGGGAAAAAATCAGGGAGGTGTGTTTTTTGGTTTTGGTTTTGTTTTTTTTGTTTGTTTGTTTGGGGTGTTTTTTTTGTTTTTGGTTTTTTTTTGGGGGGGGTTGTTTTGTTGTTTTGTTTTGGGGGTTTTTGTTTGTTTTGGTCTTGGTTTTGGGGTTTTTCCCGATTTGGTTTTTTGTTTTGTTTTGATTTTGGTTTTGGTTTGTTTTGTTTTTTCCCCTAAATGAAAACTAGAATTTTGAGAAATTCAACTAATTTTGTGGTTTGTACTCTTAATGTGTTTGGTCTTTTCCTGCCTTGCTTTTGGGAAAGACATTTACTTCCTGCAAGTATAGTTCCAGATAAACAATACAGACTGAAATGAACATTCCATACCTTCTATTTTTAAAATAATATAAAGAAATTTAGACTTTGAACAGCACTCAAGCAGCTTATCTGCATTTTCAATTCTTCATGACTTTTTTGTTTTGAATGAGCAAAGGAACCTCACTAACATTTTTGTATCTCATCTATTCCTCAGGTAAGTTTGTTCCCTTTTGTAGCTTTTGTAGTCATACTCTGTTTGAACATTACCAGAGCTACAAATAAATAACTGTCTGAGGAGTCATTCATTGATTCTTGAAATGGGTGAGTAATAAAAGATCAATACACTAATTCTATTAAATATTTTTGGAAGGCATAGACATTGACTTGGTTCTGGTTTACTGTGTGAGGTCAAGAATAGAGATAGGAAAGAACACTTTAAAGGTTAAAGGTTAAAGGCTTCACTTTGCAGGGAGCTGTCAAAACTTTTGAAGTTTCAAAAACCTGTTGTACCAGTGAGAGGCAAAAGTCAGGTCAGTATACTAACAGATCTATGAAAAACTTGTTTATGCTGCAAGCAGACAATTTTGATTGGCCTGTATTGTGTTCCTTAAATTACTGATTATTTTTTTGAATGACTCCTCACCCCACCCAGTTTTTAAAGAAAGCCAGCCAATTTTTCATATTGGATAATTACACTGCTCAGTAGCATCAGCAAATTAAGGATGGGACATAAATGAATGCTTTATAATTTGGACAGTTAGTATTTTTCGTGATGTGAAGAGGTATAGAAATACTGGTGATGAAATTCTGACCTGTGAAAATGTATGAATGCATATTACCATTGGCTGATAGAATCTTGCTTTATACAGATTAAAAAAAAGAACTGAAAGTAATTTTGACTTAAATTCTGGCATCTGGATTAAAGCTTTTGGAGGTGTTTTTATGACAACAGGATCAAGAAATTACTCTAGAAAACTATTATACAGTTCACATGGTGAATACATTCATTGGTGGTGTTAAAAGTGCAGGCTGTGAGCTCCTTTCTTCTTGGGAGGATTTACTCTGTGTTCTGGTCCTCATTACAGGGCTACAGGATTCTACCAACCAAAGGAAAAGATATACAAATACAAAGAACACAAGACTTGTCAGATGCTGACTACATTAAAAAAGTAAGTATTAAAAAAATTAGTCACATAACTTATTAAAATTTGGACTGGACCGTAGAGAATAGCCTTTCTTTCACATAAGTGCATATAAGGTGCTGTAATCAACTTTCCCACAAATGGGAAAGCAAACGTATATGAGCCCTTTGTGCTTCTGCTGTCAGTTTTAGGGCTGGTTTGGTGATACTGAATTAGGGCAAAGCTCATTTACAGGGAATAAGATTGCTTGTGTGATCATGCTCCTGGGACCAGGTTCTTTGCTTGAAGACTGAGAGGCAAATATTAAGGCTACCACTGATTTGAAATTCTCAGTTCTCAGGGGGATGCTACAATCTGTGCTATTCATAGATCTTGACCTCCCACTTCTGGTGTTTGTGGAGGAAGTAGAACTAGCACTGGTTTTATGAAAATTGGTTTTGTGGAAAATGCAATCTTGCAGAGTAGGTAAAAACTAGAGCTCATCACTGCTACAAAAGGTGACTGCAAACGGGGCTTGCTCCTCTGATGTGATAAGTAAAACACATATATTATGTCAAGTGCTTTGCAAGGCTCAACGTCAGTGTGCTCAGTTTTTTTGTTGTATCAAACTGTCAGTGAGGAGCCATATACCAGAGAATTTCTTCTTGCTCCAGGGTCTTACTTGTCTGGAAGCAATCTGAAATGCAAGCAAATTCCAAGTAACTGCATGAGTGAAACATTTGGAACACTGTCAGAAGAGACAGACTTGTGCAAGCAATGCAGACTATGCTAAACTCACTTGCAAGGGATTTTTTCAGCTGCTGAGCTACAAAAATGTGATGAGATTTCTCTCACACTTTCATGTATTTAAATAAATCTGTACATTTCTTGTGCTAACTGAAATAAGGGGAGAAGGCTTTTCCAAGCCTCAAAAAGTTTACCTAATAGTACCCCTTTTTGTATGGGTTCCTGTTAAGCTCAGGTGCTCAGAAAGGCACCAAAGGCGCAACACAATAATGATATTCTTCAAAGACCTTTCTCTTGTCTTATGGATGGAACAATGTATATCACTTTGCATTTAAGGATCATGCTACTGGATTTCATGTAGAGTAGCAATAACCCGTTGATATAGAAGTGCCTTAAATATGCTCACTTTTGTGACATTGCAAAGTTAAGTTTAATACTTGTAAATTGGTTGTCTAAACTCACATTCTGTCTAATACACAGGAAATATTATGGTTATTTCAGAGCTACTGAGCACCCACATTTCTTTCCTATTTCTTGTGGTTAGTCAGGGATACTAAATACTTGACAATTTTGCAAATGGTATTACTCAAATAGGTGCTGAAGTATGACCAAGGCAACTCTGTTTCAGTGGGTGTTTTTGAAAATCTTGACTTGAGATCTGCTCTTTAATGAAGTAAGTAACAGTTTTGTGTATCCTACACATTCAGTACCAGACCTTGACTTGTCCAATGTTTGTGCTTGTTACAGCTTCACAGTCAGTGAGTTCTCTTCATGAAGGCTGTCAACCAAGTGTCTGAATTAGAGCCTGCAGACCAAGTCTGTTTAAATCTAATAATTTCTATAAAGTAGGTAAGGAAAAGAGCAGCAATCAGTAAGCAGTCTCTTTTCCCTCAGCATTCCTGGCTAGTATTGTTCGGAAACTCTGCATAAATGGCATTTGTGAATTTAAAAGCAGAAAGCTACTTTCTCTGTTTCAGTTATACGAGCTAAGAAAAATCCCAATGACATCAATTTACCTCCTCCCTAACCAGCCAGCACCAAAAAAATTGCTTTCCCACCAGTGGTTACCAATGCCAGCAACTGGTGATAGCTGAGAAAATTGTAACCTGGTATCTCCTTCCTGTCCCATAGCTAACTTGTTTCTCCCCACCACATGACCTCAATGATGGGCTGCAAATAGCATTGCATAACTGCATAGTGCCTCACACAGTGTGACAACTTGACCCTTGACAGTGACTGTGCCAGTGTAGTCCAGGTGCTACTCATCATACAGAACCCCCAGAAGAGCAATGACACTGTGTTAAATTGCTGTTATACACTTTTAAATAATTTAAAAGAAAAAAAATCTAAGGTAAGTAAATAAAAAAAATGAAAAGCAAGGCAAAAGAGGTAAAGGAAACTGTCCAAGGACACTGTAGTTAAGCCATGGGAATTTCTGACTCCCAGACACATATTCAGCCTTGTTTGTCAGACTCTGCTGCCTGATTATTATTTAGAGTGAAATGTATGTTGTCTTGTTCACTTTACTTATTCACTTCATTCATCTCACAGCTCCTTCAACTCCAGGGCATTGCTGGTGGACAGAAGACTTATAATTTGGAAAAATCCTGAGCCTGGAAATGGGTGAATTGCCACAGCTCTTGTGCAGATGTCATTTTATAGCAGTAGATTCTCTGATTTAGACCAGTGGACATTCTGGGCTAACAGAAACAAAGCTCATTTGGCAGGCAGCAATATATAATTGGGAAAATAAATGTTGCTGCATTGCTATTAGAATAGAAATTAGGGCTAGGAGATGTTTGCTCTGTCTCAATAGCAGGCTATCAATATTCTCAGCAACATTATTAGTATTTATTGAAAATCTTTTGTAAAGTACTGCAGGTTTTCACAGAGGTAATTTAAATCACATAATTAGGATGCCTAAAACCATCTACAGAAGGATAGATGCTACTAGTGCTCAGTACTTGATTGTATTACGTTTCGGTGCTATTCTAGGGGGATTAGAACATTTTCTGTCACTGTTGATTGCACAGCAAGAAAATGAGAAGTTTTTAACACACGTTTCTGGGTTTAACAGGTTGTGAATTCTAGACTGTGTCTCAAAATTAGCCTGATCCTGCACAGTCTAGGTCATACTGTCCAGCAAAATGGCATGCAAGTGACATGTTTCAAAATGCTGAATCTCGTCTTGCATAAACCATGCTGAGGGTACATACAAATGGTTTTATAAAGCATCTACATGTAACCTACCCACTTTGCTTTTACCAGTATGCAGTTTTGGAAGACAGTATTTTCAAATTCAACCAGATTTAGCTGTATTTATTGATTACATCTTATCATAACATAGGCTTTCCCTTTTACATGAGTTGTTCCATTGTGTGAACTATGAAAAGATCTGGATGTTACCAAATCATTTTTCTGTCTACACAGACAAGTTTTAATTTCAGTTCCATGTATTTTGAAACTTTCTATTTGTCCAGTAGGAAGATGTAGTTCTGTATGTTGTATGAAAATTTAGCATATGCTTAAGTTTCGTTTGGATCTTGAGCCACAGAGCTGCCCAAGCTGGTGTCAATCAGCCCATAAACTCACACTGTGCTGGAGCCCTAATCAATATTGTGAGCCTGATACAAGCCCCACAGAATTCATCAGGAGCTGTTTGACCTACTCAGTGATCCTGGGAAGAATCATCTCTGCTTAACTGAGCTTTCTAGTTAAGGCAGAGGTCTGACCTTGCCATAGGCCTGTATAATCTCAGAATGGGAAATCAGTAACACTGCACTTTGAGGAATTTGTTTGCTGCTTGCTCAGTGTATGTTATGAAGTGACAATATGGGATAATTGTTCATCTGCTGCACGTCTGTCATCATTTGCTGAACTCTACTGAGATGCTGAGGGCAGACGAGACAGCACTGGTGCCCCTGCAGTAGGGAGGGTACAAAGTGCATTTCTCCCCACATGTGAGCTGTTAAAGGTTGTGAAAGTCCCTATGCCCCCTTCTATTGCTCCTTCCTTTAATAGTAGCATGGGGGCCAAGCAAAATGTGTTGTGCCTGACAGAAAAATTTTGCCAGGTCAAGCATGGGGATGATGCTCTCCAGGGCTACAGTTTCATGAAGAGTAGAGGTACAGAGATCCAGAAGCATTACTGAGTGATCCAATCAATACTGAATCCATTTTTCATCATTCATTCATAGGAAGAAAAGGATGTCTAACTTAATCATTCCTTACAGAAAATAAACAGGCACCTTGTCAGCCCATGAGAAAAATCATTCACTGATGCCAAGATAATGTTTCTAAACAACTGACTGGATCAAAGGTGAAATTTAATTGATTATGTGTTAAATATTCTCTCTCTCCCTGTCTCTAACATAACACTCTCTCATATACAGAGTGAAAATACCCAGACAGAAGCACCGAACAATTTTATCCTTGTTGCCATAGAAATTTCAGGCAATTATCCAGTACTGTGGCTGGATTGCTTCTAGAGATACAGAGTTTGATCCTTTTTCATCTAAATGATGTAAGTCAGTCACAGCTCTGCTGAACTCAAGAAATTGTAGAACTGGTATAAACGAGAGAAGGGTCAGTGTCGTAATGTTAGCGATTCTTCCCTTCTTTTGTTTTTTTTGGTTTGTTTTTTTTTGTAACTAAGAGAAAGGCATGATTGAATTTTTCACATAATCCAAAGTGCACCTCTTGTGGACATGGTCAAATTCCTGGGTCAACTGCCACAGTTTTTTGGGATTTTTGGATAATTGCTGTAAAAGTCTTTGGTGTATGACTTGAGCAGTGCTCAAATTCATAGTACAGTTGTATCATTCACAGAAGGATTTATGTCTGAATGTGGAAAAAAAGAAGGTAAGAGGAGAAACTAGAAGAACTAGAGGCATTTTAGCAAAGTGACTTGTCTGGATTCACAGACATGGCAAAGGCAGGGTAGGAGCAGATCTGCTATCTCTCTTGCTCCCATCTTACTAGACAGTGCCTGTGAGTGTAAGAGCAGTGCAGCAGGTAACAAGAAGGCAACACTCCATTAACTGGTTTGCTTATACTAATATGCATTTGTCAGATCTAGTTTGTAGGCTAATATCCAACTGGGCATCCCAATGAACAGCATATGACTATGACATCCAGCTGTGTTCTGTTTCTGTTGCATTGAATTAATCAGAGTTTGGCTCTCCATGCTCCTCGTGGGAAGGGAGAGCATAGGGAGTGGAAACAAATGAAGCTGAACTTCTTTTGTGCCAGGCATATGTATTTGTAACAATGCATCTGACCCTTGCTCAGGGCACTCCACAG